CCCCAGCATGTTTTATCTCCAGAAAAAGATACTGGAAAGAGTGACTAAGATCTTTCCAGAAATAAGACATGAGTTTCTAGATCGAAAAGACTCAGACTGCCTAGTAAGATATCTTTAAAAACAAAACAAAACGACATCTAGACACCTTTTAGCTAAAGTGTAGAATATCAAGAATAAAAAGGAAATTCTAAAAGCCACCAGAGAGAAAAGATAGCTTATCTACAAAGGTCCAATAATTGAACTGACAGTAAGCGTCTCATCAGCAACAACAGATGCCAAAAGACAATGGAATAGTATCTTCAGAGTGCTGAGCGCAAATAATTGTGAAGTTAGAGTGCCATCCGTCGCCAAACAAAGGGCAAAATAAAGACATTTGACACATGCGAGATCTTAGAAAGCTTCTGTCTCAGAATTTCACTTGAAAGAGAGAGGCACAGGGGCTTGGGGGAGAGTTTGGGAGCTGGAGAGGTGAGGGGGCTCCAGGCTGCCGAGGGGGGCTGGCTACTTTGGACTGCTCCTCAGCACCAGCCAGAGGAACCCAGCCCACCCTGTTCTCAACTGGGACCCATCTTATGTTCTCCCCTCCCGGGCACCAGGCTTGCTGCTTCTCCCATCCCCTCTTCCAAACCCGAGCTAGGGAGTAACACCACCGGCCCAGCTCAGGGAGCTTGGGGAGGCCACATCCAAGTTGCTCCTGTGACCAGGCACTTGACCTCCCCTCTAGGGTCCTCTCCTCCTGGGAGGTCAGATGCCCCCGTACAGAGGCCTTACAGACGCTGGAGTCGTGGGACAAAAGCTAGGTCCCTACCAGGGGAGGGGAGTGCAGGAGCTCTCATTCTCTAGCGGAGAAGAATCCTGAACAGAGGGGAGGAGACCAATGGGGCTGAGCCCGGCTGGGACAGGAGGCTTCTTGAAGCATCTGGCTCCACTCGACCAGCTGGTGACCTCAGGTAATTTCTCAACCTCTTTGAACCCCCACTTCTCACTTCTAAAACGAAAATACCTACCTTGTGAGGATGTAAAGATGAAATGAGATGATCTGTTAGGCATCGAGCTTAAAGATATTTTCCTACACAGAAATTTCTCTAAAGAATAATCTCTATCTACTATCCCTGCCTCGCACATTATCAGAGCTCAATAAAACAAACAAAAATTGTTAACAAGGGAAAAGCAATAGCAAGAGACGAGCGGAGGTGGGAATGAGCGCGGGTGTGGAGGCCCTGTTTTCAGGGAAGGGTTTATGTTCATTCACTCTTCATCAGTCACTCGTATCCTCTTGGTCCCAGGCCCTGTGCTGGGCTCTGGAGGTGCAGAGAGGACTCTGAACTGGAGGAGGACCATCTGTAAGGAAGACAGCCAAATCCAGAAAATTCTAAGAGTGATAGGGGATTTCTGCTACTGTCTCTCTCTCTCTCTCTCTCTCTCTCATTCCCATCCACCCTCTCCCCTTTCCCCCAACCCAATATAAGCTCCACGATAACACAATCTCATCTGGCTAATTTTCAGCTGTTTTTACAATGTCCAAAACAATTTCGGACACACAGAAAGTGCCAAGGAAATATTTGCTGAATGACTGTGAATACGAGAGCAAACAGGAGAGGCTGTAGACACTGCCGCGGGAGCATGGAAGAGGTCTTTGCAGACTCTGCCCCAGGAGTTAGAAGTTTCTCAGCAAGGGCCGCTTAAATTGGGCCTTGATGGATGTCTAGGAGATCAGTAAGTGGAAGAGGAAGTAAAAAAAACATTCCAGGCATTGGGGCCAGTACATTCTGAAAACATGGAGGTGAGGTCAGGGACCAGTGGGTAACTGAGTGCATAGAGTGGAGAGAGGACAGTGGAAAGACACAAAACTAGGGAGATAAGAAGGGCCTCGAATGAACTTGGGTTGCCAGAAAGTCTTATTAAAATCTGAGAACTGGGGTAACTGGCTGGCTCGGTCAGTAGAGCATGTGACGCTTCATCTTGGGGTCATGAGTTCGAGCCCCAGGCTGGGTATAAAGATTACTTTAAAAAATAAATAAAACCTGAGAACCTACCCTGATGTAATGCTTGGGACAGTGTTTGCGGCCCTCAGTTGCCCTAGAGATGCCCCTGCCTTCAAAAGTTAAGGGTCTTACCAGGGATGGGGTTAAGAACTTAGGACCCACTGAAAAAGGGGACAGTCCTACCCCCTTGTAGTTCCTAGAACAGCCTCAAGTCGGGATAAGGGTGGGTGAGACAGGGCACCGTCCTGAGGCTTGGGGAAGTGCTGCCTGCTGCCCCCTTGTGGCCTCAGCAGAACTGAACAGCAAGGAGGCTGGCCAGGTGGTCTTCAAAACCCCAGGGGCCTCCAGTCTCCAGCACCAGTCTGAGACAGCCATCCCAACCACCAGCTGTCCACACACCAGATCCGATTGCTTTATTTATTCCGCGTATACCCACGACTGGACCAATGGCTTGGGGAGGCAGAACAAAAGGAGACTGTTCACATTTGGTAAAGTCTTGTTCTTACGTGCACCCCACCACCTTTGGCCGGAAAGCCACTATGCACACACACGGGGTCAGGATACCACCGTTTTGGCTTCAGCTCCACCCCTATTCAAGGAGTGACCTTGGGCAAGTCACTGCACCTTGCTAGGCCTCCCATGTCTCCATCTGTAACACAGGCATCATGATGATCCCTCCTCCTGTCTCCCCTGCAGGGTCACCGTGAAGATCATCGGATGCTGCAAGTGCTAGGAAAAATGTTGAAAGCGTGCTCCGGATGTAAGGGGATCGTGCTGGGGATTAGACAGGGGCTCTCTTGGGCTGCACTAAAGTGTTTGTTTACACCCAGATGGGCCCTGCTGGCGGGGAAATTTAAAGGGAACGTGCTCAGTAAGGAAGCTGCTTGCCAATCACAACTGATCCAAACATCTCCAGAATAAGAATGGAAGTCCATGGGAAACGGGGACCCTCCGGCTGGTGTGAAAATCCAACTACTTGGGTTTTCGAGAATGAGTTGAAGAGCAGCAAGGTGGGGCAGCGCTGTGGCCTCAACATGGGAGGTTGGTGAGGAAACGAAATCGCTGGGCTGCTGCTGTTCCTCTGAGGCTGGCATTCCTTGAGCCTGCATTTCTCTGCGTGGGGCTGGGTGAGACTGGGTACAGGGCAGTGGGAAAAGCCAGATGATCCCCTTCAGAGGAAAGTCCAGAACTAGAACGAAGATAACTGGACATGGGGGGCAGGGGGGGGGCGCTAAACTTGGGAGTCAGGAAGAAGCCTGGGGGGCTGCCCCTGACTCATGGGGGCGGACCTACCGACTTCTTGTGATAGTTATCACCTGCTTCACCTACCAAGAGGTCACCAGAGGGGAACCATGTATCCAAAACCTTACAACTGAGAAAATCTTTGCTTTTGAAAGATGTTACTTTTCTTCCCTTTATAGTATGAATCTGTTACCTGGTCTCATCTTTTTGCCTCGGTGGCCAAGGAGCCCAGGGCCAAATGTGAAATTGAATTCAAACAGCTACGTAGGTCTTTCTGGCCAGAATGTTTGTGTTCACGTTTACAATCTGGATTTCCCACTCAATGATATTCTTCTTAATCCTAATTTGTCATATTTTGTCTGTGTATGTTTTCTACACAAGCCATCTTAATTTTTCTTGTGGAATACCGTTAAGGTACACTTAGGTAAATGATCGAAAATGAAATCGATGATAGATGCCCAAGTACTTACCATGGTTAACAGCGAGGGACATTTGGTGTGAGAGTTACCAGGGTATCAGGGTCAGACTTTCATCACCTCATATCAAAGCCCCTTCCCTGTCCCCATTTCACCCCTTAGGACAGTCCAAAGAGAAGGGAGTTGCCCACGGTTTTATGGCATATTACCATCAGAGAAGAAATTAATACCTCCTTCCTCCTCGTACTCCATTCCCTGTTCTCCCCACAACAGCAGGCCTCACTCAGGTTATAAGGATGGTACAGTGAGGGTTAGGAAAAGAGGCTCACCGCTGGCCTCTGTGGCCAACAAAAGCCAGTGAAGAAGTGGAATGCTCTATTCTTCCTGCTTCGACTACCAGGAAGCACACCCTGGCTGTAGAACCCTCTGATCTGCTGGCTAACAAGAGGCTTGGGCTGCCTTCCGTGGCAGATGCCATGCCTCTGGTAATGGGCACGGCTGTAACCGGCAGCTCAGAATGGCAGCCTGTGCCAAGGCAGAAGTGGAGGGACTGATCCGGGTCCTTGTTTGAAGGACAGAGACAGTTTCTTCCGCGAGAGATGCTCTCTTGACGCTCAACCAGCAGGACACCGCTGCATCTGGCCCACATGTGGTAGTCTAGGAGGGAAGGCAGGCGGCCGTCTCCAAGCAGCAGATTCTGATCTAGTTCATTTGCAAAATCAGCGGAAGACCTCCATTTGAATCAGATATGCAGCATTAGCTCCCTTAGCTTTGGACGCCCGCTCTTCACAAGGGTCCCGCTCCTTCACAGACACGCAACCTGAGGGCAAACAAACCTAATTTCCAAGCCTTCCCAAGAAAAGTGGCCCCATGAATGCCCCAGACACAGAAACCCAGACTCTAAATTATCTAAAATGAGATTTATTGCATTTCATGCAGTTTGAAGTCCATGCAGCAAAGGAGACTAGCACAATTTTTAATGCATTTTAAAGATAAAAAATGGGGGGTGGAGGTGGGCAAATGCACAAAGTTCTAGTCTCCTTGGGTCCCTGGGAGAGAAGGGTTTGGAAATGAAACCATCCACTCTCCATGGCAAATGAGTTCACCTCTTAAACGCAAGGAATGTTTCCACGGCCTCTGGGTGCAAACACACAGAGCTCTGGGACGAGCACAGGGTCACGAGGAAGAGGACCACTAGTGAGAAAGAAGCTACGTGGTCACCTAATTCAATCTGCGGGCAGAACAAGGTGGCAAATCCTAGGGCCGCAGCTGCTCTGAGAGTCAGGAGATAACATACCCCCCTGAGGAGATGTGCTCCTGGAAAGAAGTGGCGGTAAGAATAAAAAAAAAAAGGAAAACAAAAGAAATATTTCTTCAACCACACTCTTCAAGAAAATGCCATAAATATGTTATTTAATATTCATTTCATAGCATTGGACACACAGCTCAACATACTGAAATATTGATTCCTCGGAGAAAAAATGGAGAAAAAGGAAATAAAAAATATTGCATCTTTCTGTTGGAGAATCTCGGCCTCCAGCGTGGGGCGCAGTGCACCAGTGTCCTAGCCTGTAGGAGGCGCGGAGGTCGGCCGGGTCCTCTGGGGAGGGAGGCTGTACCCATCGCCCGGAGCTGTATGGCAAAAATTGTGTTGGGCGTCCGTGGCCTTGCCAGCTCAGGCCCTCAGTCGCCGGTCACCTGGGGGGCCTGCCCGTCGGAGGGCTGGTTGGCTGACTGGATGAACATGGGCTGGGCGAGGTCCTGGCCGGCGGGCATGGTGACTTGCTGGATCTGGTAGAGCTGCTGCGAGGGGTGGAGAGGAGAGAGTGAGGTCACCCCCGGGAGAGGGGCATGCAGCTCCCTATGGGCCTCGAGTTGGCTGGGGGCCCCGGACACCTCGACCACCACCCACTGTAAGGCGTCGGAGGGAGGAGGGGGAGTGGGGCTCTGCGGGGGCTGGGCGCAGCAGACACAGGAGGCTCCGGCCCGGTGTGAGGGGGTGTGTGTGGTGGGCGGGGAAGAGGTGCAGGGAGTTGCATTTCCCGTGGCTTTCACTTCTCTGGGCTCTGCCTCTCCCGTTAGCTCAGAGCCTCGGGCTGGCTGCACGCTGTTCCTCTGTGACAAACACAAGCAATTCGATCCACTGTACCAGCAGCTTGGAAGTCAGCATTTCCCCAACTCTTGGTAATCCTCACTAGCAGGGGCAGTAGGATTACCCCCTCTCCTCCTCCTTTCCTCCGAGTACCTGGCTCAGGCCGAGGCTACAGTGAACCTGCGTCTCCTACATGGGCCCTGCTGAGGAGGTGGCCTGGGTTTAAACGCTTACTAAGCCAAGACCCGTGAGGCGTGGAGAAGCAGCTCAGGTAGCCACTGTGGAAAGACACGGCCAACTGGACACTTGACTTCTCAAGCATTCCCCCCTCAAAAAGCCCACGGGCGAAGACCCCCCCGCCCCCCACCCCGTGCCACAAGAGCCCTGGCATGTGAGCCTAGTGTGTGGTGCAGGCAGGGGCCAGACGTGGGTCCTGATGCCGGCTCCTCTCCCTTCTGGGCAGCAGAGAACACAGGCGTG